GACAGGTTAGCTAGCGCAGGAGTTGGGCGACCTCTTCGCACAATATCCAGCTTTTGGTGGAAGGTCTGTCTTGAAAATTGTGTGGAAAGTAGTTCCACAACCAGATCAACGTCTTCTCCTTCAGCCATTTTGGGTTAAAATGCATTGATCGCTCTCGCGGGCTGCGCACAGCCAATCGTTTTTTTTTTTGTTTTTTTTTAATCTTTATTGAACAAGTCAGGATACAATTCTCAGGAAACAGAAAAGGCGCTAATCCAATCACCGAACGCGCACGGCCAGTCTCGACGTAAGGCCTTCTCGCTAGCCCCAGTATGCAGAGAGAACAAGTCAGGATACAGGATAAAGTCTGAGACTCGTGATCTGATATGCTATTGAAACCTGACTGTGCCCGTTCACTTACAGCGCACAGGGGCCTGCTCTGTTTAATCTGAAGGCCCCGAGCAAATTTAATTTACCTGGCAATACAGCTAGCTGAAATATGATTGGTTAAGAATATTTAGGCCAGCAGAGAAGGCCTTGCTGGCCCTCAGGGTCCGCCACTGATAGATACACACAAACACAACTGCTATCTGGGCTCTCGCCTGGATGGAAAAAATCGATCGGACGCTAGCGTTTCTGTTTGCCCTTTTACCCCTCCTTCCCGAGCCCAAGACTGATAAAGCCTGAACTTCAACCACGGGTGCTCGACACGCAGACATAAACAAACGACAATAACACATGCCCTGCAATATTAACTTGTTTGGCTGATTGCTCTTTTGTCCAGCCCCATGTGCGACAACCTGATTGTCTCGAGCTCTCACACGCAGAGCCGGTCTGATTGTGACACGCCCCCAATCCTCCCCATTCATTACATGTCAAGTTTTGAGATTTGTTGTTCTTGTCTTTTAAATGTGCGCTACATGTGCTGAGAGTTTTTTTCTCCCCTGGATGTTCTTGCTGATGATGTGGTGTGACATCACTGGCACACAGGGAAGGATTTACAGTGCGTTATGATTTTAGTCATCGCTTACTTGGCAGTGTAGTGAAGACATTCCCAAACCATGCTCACGCTTCAGGAGAATGTTTGAAGTCAGTTGTCCCCCCCCCCCCCACTCTTCTCTATTATTTTCTTTTCACAGTTTAACTTAACACAAGATATTGGGGCACTGAACAGCGAATCGCCAGGCTCCCCGTTCTGTCTCCCCCTGTTGGTTATTGTTTTGTTTATGTTCCTCTGGACGGGTTGTAACTGGGAAAATAAATTCCTTGTGTGTGTGTTTTTTTTTTTTTACTTACATGGCCAATAAATTTTATGCTGGTTCTTCTTCTCAGTTTAAGCTTGTAGTGTACTGAGACTTTTTACAGCATCCTGGGACTTCACATGAGCTAACAGTACCCTCTCTTGCTTTATTTCTTTCTTGCGCCTTTTGATATTCATACTCTTATGGCTATACTACATTACCATGTGTGCACCGGTATGTGCCACAGGCCTGTCCCTCGAGAGGCGGTCTTGCGAGTCGAGTGTGAGGCAGAAAAAGGACCTGAAGAAGAATAAAGTGTGAATAATGTATGTATTATGTATTATTAAGCGGCCAATGAATCGATTGAGTAGCAAGTTAGCATCACAATGCAGAGGTCGTGGGTTCAATTCTGGACCCTGGCCTTCCTCTGTCGAGATTACATGTTCTCCCCATGCCTGTGTAGGTTTTCTCCGGGTACTCCGGTTTCCGCCCACATTTCAAAAACATGTACGGTTGGTTAATTGAACACTCTAAATTGTCTCTAGGTGTGAGTATGAACGTTTGTCTTTGTGTGCCTGGCAAATGGATGGCATCCATCCATCCTTATGTGCTGGAGCCTATCTCAGCTGGTCAGGGGTGTCAGGGGACACCCCGAACTGCTTGCCAGCCAATCACAGGGCACACAAGAAAAACAACCAAAGCACATTCTATTGACTTGTTGAGTCCAAATATTGTCCTAAAGGTTCATCTTATTAAAACAAATATTATTTTGGTTCTTGATGTTGAACTCATTTTGGTATCAAAGGCTGAAAATTGAATTTAGCTGTTAAAATGTTTGACATGACCTCAATTTAGATAGTAATCATTTAATTCCATTCAAATTTATTTAACTCCGCTGGAGGAGAAAATTAACCTGTCCAAACCCTCGAATGTAATATTAACATTTACGAGCAGGGATGTGTTGTCACTTAATTGATTTCAGCATCCTACCAAATTTGTTCATCCTCAACATCCTACCAAATTTGTTCATCCTCAACTGCTGAGCTGCTACGTGGATCAAAATAAACTTGGGAACAGAAAATTAACTGGTTTGGATGTGCTATTTCCTGAATGAATCAAACATGTGAAAATATGGCCAAGCGAGCGTTGAAGAAGCATGAAGTCAGTTCAGGTCCTTGACCCAGTCTATTTACAGCACATTCTGAAACCTTTGTTTTGTTTTGTTTTTAAATTGTAAAGTTAACAAGTGTCTGCAAATCCATTCAGAGTGTGATTCTGTTGGGTTAACATATTATTTTGTAAGTCACCGATGATGTCATTTAACCTGAGTTCCATTCATCCAGCGTAGGTTTGGTTCCTATTCCGTGAAAGTGCAAATGTGAATGGTTGTCTATATGTGCACTATGTCTGACTCCAGGCTTTGGTTTTGTGCAGTTCGGAACTTCCGAGGTCAAACACGATCTACTCTGGGATGTTGATTGACTACCTGACTGACTGTTGACTTGATTTTTTTGTTTTTTGACAAATATGTAATATGTGTTCATTCTTTATTTATGCTATCAAAAAAAGAAAACCACATGGTCCCTGCTTGTGGATATTCTCATTCGTCGAAATCATTTCATTTTCAGGGCATTGAATCAATCACAACTGGACTGCTTTGTCTGTCTACGAAGACGTTTCACCTCTCATCCGAATAGGCTTCATCAGTTCATGCAAAAGACTTGGGTTAGGACCTGTGGGTGTTTGCCTGAAGGCTCCTCTGTGTGTATTGAAATCTAGGTCCACGAAGAAACAACCTCAATTTATTTTGACCTATAGTTCTGGATTTTGAATAAGGAAAATAAGTAAATGCAAATGATCATACAAACAATACGTACTGTATCGTCACAGGTGGCGTTGACTATTTACAAAGCATTCAAACTGAACATTGACATGCATTAGGCTTGGGAACATGGAGACAAGTAACAATCATCCAAAACTTCAATCATTGATATGCTGTGCAGAATACACATCAATATAGTTTTTTTTCACAGTGCCGCACCCCATTACAGTGGCGTAAAGTGCTTCTTTGATTGATTGTTGTCAAAATTTTGGACAAATTAGAACAATGCTGACCTGTCACAAATGAATTTAATTAAAAAAAAAAAAAGTTCCATACCCCTTGGTTATTGGTGGATGTTCTAACAAAAACTGTGGTGCATATCAATCAAAATCAAACCACATTGATTGCTAGTCTAGTACTGTATACAAAAAAAAAAAAAAAGATGTGACAAAATGCTTTTATTTTTTATTTGGAATTATAAAATATTGTTTGACGGGCTATCAAAAAGCTACACAACAACCATTATTCGCCCCAAGTATATCAAAATATATTCAGATTAGCGATACTTGCTGAAGGTTGTCACTCAAAGTCAAAGAAAGCTCATGAGAAGAATAGCAATGACATTGAAAAAAAGTTTGAAACTACTGTGCATTTCACGATCTCTGCTTGGTATGCTGCAGGGGAATGCGGCGTAAGTCTCTGAGGTGCACCACATCACTGTATAAAAAAAAAAGTCATCTCTCTGTTTGGACACGTAGAGGTCACAGAATTTAAGAAGATAATATTGCTGCAGCTATCATACAACCAAGTATTTAACTTCATGGAATACCAAAACTTGTGACTGTGAATACAACAGACACTTGAAATATTAGTTTCTTTGATTGCCATTCCTACTTAGATTGACTACCCACTGTCCTCAGCATGCCAAAACAAACACATGTAACATGACTGGCTTCTTATTCTATTTTGTTAAGGCAGCAATGGTATATTGTTCCAGCATAGTTATAAACACAGTGCACATATTTTCTCATTTTGATTTGGATGTCTGCAACAAGTTCCAAAAAAGCTGGGGCAGGGGTAACAAAAAGACTGGAAAAGTTGATGAATGTAAAAAAAAAAAAAAACAACAACAACAACAAAAAAAAAACATGTTTGGAACATTCCACAGGTGAACAGGTTAATGGGAAACAGGCAAGTGTCATTCTCGAAAGGCTCCGAGCAAATAGTCCAGCAGTTTAAGAATGTTTGTCACTATTCAATTGCAAGGAATTTCGGGATTTCATATGCTTTGGTCAATAACGTCATCAAAAGAGAAGAAAGTCTGGAGAAATCTGTGCACAAATGCACAAGGCCAAAAACCAACTTAATGCCCGTGACCTTCGATTCTCCAGGTGGCACGGCATGAAAAACTGGCATCGTTGTGTTTAGAATCCATAAAAAAAATATAATAATACAAATAAAAACGAAGCCACATATCAACAACACACAAAAATGCATCTTTCTGAGCCCAAGCTCATCTGAGATAGAAAGTGAAAAAGTGTTCTGTGGTCTGACGAGTCCAAATGTCAAATTGTTTTTGGAAACTATGGACTTCGTGTCCTCCAAGCGAAAGAAGAAAAGGACCATCTGGAATGTTATTAGCAGAAACCTCAAAAGCGAGCATCTGTGATGATGTGGAATGCTGTAAAGGCACCATGAATGCTTAAAGGTACATTCCTGTTTCACCCAAGCAACGTCTTTTTAAAGAACGCCCCTGCTGATTGCAGCAAGGCAATGCCGAGCTCCTCTCTGCATGTTACAACAGCAGGACTCCGTCATACAAAGAGTGTGAGTACTTGACTGGAGTGAAGATCTGCCTCCCACTGAAAATGTGTGGCGCGTTAGGAAGTGCAAAATATGACAGCGGACACCCCCGACTGTTGAGCAACTGAAGTTGGACATCAAACAAGAATGGGAAAGAAGAGCAGTTACGAAGCTTCATCAATGAATCTTCTCAGCTCCCAAATGCTTATTGAGTGTTCATGTTCGAAAGGTGAGGTAACGCACTGTCCCAGCTTTTTTGGGGGGAACGTGTTGCAAAATAAAGTTAATCAGTTTCAACATTTAATGCCTTGTCTTTTCAGTGTATTCAACTGATTATAGGTTGAAAAGGATTTGCAGATGATAGTTTTCTGTTTTTACTTTGTTTTTTTTACAACTTACAAATTCAAATGGTAATATAGGCCTAACATTTGTTCATCTATTTATCTATTTTCTATGCGGGTGAGCTGGACCTTCTCCCAGATGACTTTGGGCGAGAGGCAAGGTACACACTGGAAACTCAGCTCAGTCGCATGGCACAATTAGAGAAACAACCATTTTACTCACATTCAAAGCTATGGACAATGTCGATTCCTCAATTAACCTATCATGCATGGTTTTGGAAAGTGGGAGGAAGCCGGGGCACTCGGGAAACACAGTATTATGGTGTAATTTACAAAAGTATATTACTTTTGGCAACAGGTATAAATGAAAAAGAATATTGGCGATTAAAACTCATTAATTGTCACTGACATATATTTTTGTCTTTTCAAAATCCAGACATTCCAGCTGTGTATTTATATATTTGTTTAAATCTTTTGACGTGATAGGGTAAAGGAGGGTCTGCAAATGTCAGGCAGTGAACGAATATTAAAAACATGGCGATTCCAACCCAAGTAGAGTTCATGGTGGCACACAGTTGATCGAAAATGTCTCCAACAGAAAGTTAATATGGTAGTGTCATTCACCAAACGTTCAAATGTTTTTCCCAGGAGAGTTGAGTGGTCCATGTGTCTTTCTACTTTGTCTGGCGCCCAGGAATGTTGGCCATTTGAATGTTGTCTCCATGTAGTCCCTGGTTGTAATAACCCGAACGGCCGAAATTCAGATCCAAAGGTTCACTGTTGTCCAATCTCAGAACTGGAAAATAAATATTTTAAATATTTACAAATGAAGTGGCCATAATTAAAATTTCTCCTCCCTAAATCAACATTTGCTATTTCAAATTGTAACACCGTCCAATCCACTACTAAAGTGACTCCGTTATGAGCAACCAACATACTTTCTGCCCACCACCAGCAGTGTGTAGGCTACAACTCGGGAGACTTGATGCCTGGTTTTATCAGCGGCTCTGTTTTATCTCTTTATTTATTTGAATCTGTGGCTCAAAATTACAAAAAAATACCAATACCAATAACACTACAAAAAGTTCTTGTACTATACAGAACTGCTACTTCCTGTGTACCGGTATTTTTTAATGAACATCATTCCATGTCATATATGCGTTGGTGTGATACCCGAATTTAACCTTTTGGGAATATTAAATGATTTATTGTATCGGATCTTATGGTATCTTATCTTACCGGGGTCAGAGGGAAAGTCCTCAACCAGTTTCCTGTGTGAGAAACCTTTGAGGTGTCGTCTCTTCAAGACGACGTATGCCACCAGTCCCACGATGGACACCACCACAGCTGTTCCTAATACAGCCCCCCATGCTTCATTCCGTTTGTTCCTGCTGCTCTCGGATGACAAACCTTCAGAATGAGATAAGGAATGACGGGTTAGAAGGAGGGAAGCAAAGCAGATTTTATATCGAATTGAGAAAAAAAAATGGCACCTGCTTAATTTGTTCCACTTTCGCGCCATTTCCACACGACTGCATTAAATGGGGTTAATTAAACGCCATGACGCGATTCATTCTGTTTGATCATATTTAAGCGTATGTAGATACTGTTGAGCTGCAAGCAGAATATCAACCTTGCTCTCCGAACAGTGGCAACTTTGTTACTCGTATTGAATATTAACGATGACTGTTTCTTTCACAACACAGCATACACGGCAGAGAACTTTGACAGGCCATCCCTTGTCCCTTTGATAAGCTCATTTGTAATCCAATCCAACCAGGTGACTACTAAAGAGAAAATCAACAGCTTGATTTCCGTCGCCTCCAGTGCTGCCTCCTGTCACCTCTTCAGTGTCTCTAAGATGTACATCACAGTTTACCTCAGCAGTGTGTCGTAAACCTGTCCCTTCATTGTAACAGACACCCTTCTATCACATAACACACCTGACACAATCCTCCACCATTTCCAATGCGCCTTGTGTATGGTCATTACGGTAATATGTCAACCTCCAAAATGGCTCCTTGCTAGAGACATGCTTACAACGCAGAGTTCAAACTTAAGGCGATCGGTTTCGCAGTTGAACACGGAAATAGAGTGGTGGCAAGAGAGTTCAACGTTCAACGAGTCAATGTTATAACTTGCTGTTGCTTAAGTGAAGTGTGTCGCTGCTTTATTAAATAAGTTTTACTGACATCTGATCGTCGCTATATAAATCAGGGTGTAGTGTAGTGAAGTGTTCTGTTGGCATTTCCTTGGTAGCTCCATCTAGTGGATGCATTGTAGATTGCGTCTTATAAAGCGGTCCGTCCAATATATGAAAAAAATTACAAAATAGGCCATTCATTGAAGGTGGGCCTCATGATCCAGTGCACCTTTTAGTGCGGAAAGTACGGTATATTTTACATTACTTTGGGTAGTCTTTATTTCTCTACTTTCCAGTGCCTGACTCCCTCCCCTTCTAAATGTTCCTCCAGCTGGTCCCAGTTTCCGGTTTCCACCAGTGCCTTGTTGGTTCAGGGTGCTGATGGGCAGGGATTCTATTGCATGATATTCTTCGGATGGATGCTCAGAATTTTTTGGCAAAGTGTTTATGCAAGATGCCCTTTCCGTTCCATTTAGGAGCATTTGGAAGTTAGGTCCAGGCTTGAGTGATCAGCGACTAGTCCGCACTCTGGACTGTAGGCATTCAGTCCATGTGAAACCGTCTGCCAGTCAAACACAGAGTAGGTCCAGGTTGGGCAATCTCAACATCTACAAAATTAGACTAGTGAGTTGAACACTGGTGTGTACTTTGCATTGCTGAGTTGGTCCTGATGCACACAACGTTCACACTGCCATCTTTAACTCAGGGGCAAAAGTGATTTAGTAACTGTTTAGTCCCAACCTTCCTGGACAATAATTGTATGCAGTGACCAACTGCGACAAGACCAGCGGAGACCACTTCCCTGGAAACATCGACCTGTTGTGCTTCAGTTAATCAAATGGACTAGCATGCTGTTTAACCTCAAATTGTATCGTGTCATATGATGTGATTAACATTGCCCACCGTCCATCCATTTCAGCCTGGCCATTTCGGAAAGGGGATCCATCCATCTCTCATCCTTTCTCAAGGTTTCTTTCTTTTTTTTTTCCCCCGTACTGAGTTTTTTTCACAGTTTGTCCCTGAAGGTTTAGACAAAGGGATGTAATTGATCTTTGTAAAAATGTGGGCTTGTAAAGCCCTTTGAGACTCTTTTGTGACCTGAGCTCAGATGTCTCAAACGTTAATACTTTCTGCTGCATGACAAAAATCAAAAAAAGATCTATGGCCTGATGTTTTTTACCAGCTGAGATGTCATGCAGAGCTTCCAAAGCACAGCTCCTTAATGGGTCGACCGAGATGCCTTTTTATATGTATCCAGCCCTATTTTTTGACGCTTGTAATTCTATGGGCACAACTTTTACAAAGTTTTTCTCAGAGCCTTTGGGGTCAATACATGCCATATACAGGTATAATGTACTGTAAATACAATGACCATTTAAGATAAGATAAGATAAGAAAACCTTTATTTGTCCCACATTGGGGAAATTTGCAACAGTAAAAATTTGATGGCTTTGTGTGTGAAAGGCAGGTTTAACAGTGAGTGGAGACCGAACCTCGAGGAAGAAAGTCAAGGCACTGCAACTGCTTGAACTCAGAATGGTTTATGTCCTGTTTTTATCCATGTATTTAACCTATTCCACTTTCATGTCTTCATGACGCCCTCTTCAGAAGCAATTAGTTTTCATTTTCATGTGTGCATTTGAAATGTCAAAATTCAACAATATTGTTTAAATATGATTCGATTGTACTTTTTACAATTTGATACCACAGTCAGTTATCAATACAAATATCATTTTAACTCATCTTACGCACCTGTGTACATGCAGAACAGGTATGTTTGAACTCCAGCTCATTCGTTCGTCCCCCAACTCCCCCCCCCCCCCGATAACAGTGGATCATTGTTCCTGCTGAGTAAGAAGTTATAAAAGGACCCTTCAGGCAAAGTAGGCAGCTGAAACCCAAGCCCAAGCTTTTTCTTTGGAAAGAAGGGATGTTTGTCCTCAGCCTGTGAAAATCTCAATTAATGGAGGTCGGTGAAAATGGGCAACAGTGATATCTTCTCTATGCTTTTCAACAATGAGTTTAGAGTTACTGGCAAACACATTGCCTAAAACTGATCTTCCGAGGATTATATCCCTGTTAAATTCCCCTATTTCTGCTTTAGTCTGTAATACCTAAATCAGGGATGGGCAATTTAAATGCTGGAGGGAGGCACAATTTTTCACACATAGGGCCACGCACCTCCTAACAAGATGTATGCCTATAATGCCATTTTAAATATGGACAAAATACATGCATTGTGTTTTTAATACAATTCATTTTTCAACATACATTCCTCAATGTGTGTATTAAAAAAAATCAACCCAGTGCAAAGTGATCTCTTGCATGAATATTAACATTCAAGCATGGCACAAACTGCTAAATAAGATAAACCAACATTAAGTGTAAGAACTTGCATTGTTTCCACAATATATATATATATATATATATATATATATACACACACACACACACACACACACACACACACACACACACACACACACTCATTTTGTAGTGTAAACCAGCATAAGACACAACTAAGCCATGTCTGTTATCTAGTGGTGAATAGCGATACGACAACTTAAAACTACAATCGATTCATATTTACAGTTCGTCACCCACAAATTTACAGATTTTTTTTTCTCAGTATTTTGAAATATTTCGTTTTTTTACGTTATTTCATTTTCTATTTCCCCTATGTAATGGACGTTTATCAGCCTTTTTTGGAGATTTTTTTTTCTTTGCAGGGTTGAAAAAAAAGTTTTTGTTTTTTTTTTTTGGTCTGTTTGTTTTTGCCTACCCCAAACCTACAATATTGAATAATCTTTATGGCCCTACTCCAATATAATATTGATGCTACAAACACAAGCTATGAACTATGTCCATTCACACACATTTCATTTTATTCCAATCTGGTATCATATTTTATAATATTTTCTATTGTTTTTAGTGACCTCAGACAAAATATGTTTGGGGACAAAAAAAAAAAAAAATCAAGGTGCAACAGAAGGACAGCTAAAAATGCAACTCTACCTGCGTCTGAGCTGCTCCCTGAAGATGCCTGTTTATCTGCCAAGTTGCCTCTTGGTGTTTTCGTAGCAACGGTTGTCTCACTGGTGGCTTCTGGAGACAACGTGTTTGGTGATGAAAATGTTGCCGATGTTGTGTTCATCTTTGTTGCTGCTGTGGTTGTCACATTTTTGTTGTTCGAGTCTGTCACGTTGGTTGACTCTGCTTTCTCTCCTGATGTTGTTGTCTTTGCTGCTGTTGCTTTGTTTGTTGTTGTGTTTTCATTTAAATCACGACTCTCTGGTGCCAAAGTGGTGGTGTTGCCTATATCGCTGTGATCAACAAAACCAGGAGATATTGTTGAGTTTTGAACGAGCGGATCATCATCAATGTTCGCAGGGGGTGTGGTTGAATTAACAAACTCTGCAGTTCTGGTGATGTTGCTTTGATTCAACTCTGTGTTTGTGGCGTTTGTTTTCCCATCCGACATTTCAGGTTGCACTGTTGAGGCATTGGGGGCTGTGGGAGGCTCGGTAGGTATGGCAACATCCACATCATCTGATGCTTCATTTTCACGCTGCTCCAGCCGGTCCCCATTATTCTCTTCAGTCAATGCTCCACTGCTGAAATTGTTGCTTGCTTCCATACCAGACACGTTACCTTCCTGCCCATTTTCTCCTTCCTCTTCAGTAAAAAGGTTTTCCTGACGCAACCAATCTTTATCAAATGTGTGCGCTGGAGAATCCGATACATTTTGTAGCGTTACCAAGTAAAAAGCCTGAAGAAATAGCAGCAGGTGTATTGTGATAATGAAATACCGTTCCATATCTTCCTTATGGTATCCCCTAAAACACACAACAGATCATTTCTATAATTACAAAACAAAGCAATTAGACAAATGCACAGCTGCTTTAAACTTCAGAACAAGAGTTCCATTTCCTCGTACCATTATCCAGAACCAGCATTTGCCCTGAGAATAGGGTGAAACATAACCAAATTGTTTTCACAAATACAGTATCTCAAGTTAAGACACTGCCATTTGGTTTTCGTGGAGTTCAGGCCTGCCTCTCAAATATAAAATTACTGACTTGCTTGCTTAGACTTACTTACTTGCTTACTTACTTACAGTAATTCTAGTATTTATTGCTACTGTTAATCATATTAGTCTGTAAACAGTGGCATGCAATATTGTGCATGCAGCAATATAGGTTTGAGGTTATGGCAACCAAATCCGGCAATATTGAGTTTCGGGGTTTTCTGGTTGCTGTATTGATGTACTGGTAATCCACCCCTGCATTATCTGAACCGCTTTATCCTCAAGAGGGTCGCGGCGGGCGCCGGAGCCTATCCCAGCTGTCTTCGGGCAGTAGGCAGGGGACACCCTGAACTGGTTGCCAGCCAATCGCACGACACACACAGACAAACAACAACCATTACCATTCACAACCACACCTAAGGACAATTTGGAGTGATCAATCAACCTCCCGTGCATGTTTTTGGAATGTGGGGGCAAACCTGAGAGTACCCCGAGAACAGGACATACAACCTCCACACAGGTGGGACCGGGCTCTGAATCAAACCCATGACATGTGCACTCTGACCTGTCGACCACCATGCCGCCCATGTTTCGTCCGATCGACAAAATACAGGTTTTCCCCTTTAAAGTACTCCCCCTGGAGTCTAATGCAGATATATAAGTTATTGTTGTCATGCTGAAGCAGCCACAAGTTGTCCTGACGCAACTCTCATCTCTTCTCGTACACTGCAAACCCCACAGGATCTCTTTGTAGACGTGCTGGTTGATTCTTAGGCACACATCGAAAGGAAAAACTCTTAGTTTACTGTCTGTTTCAAATAGGTCTTTACTGACACCAGTGCTGGAACTTTTCCGACTCACCTCATATTTCCTATCAAGCTTCAGTGAAATAACACATTTAGAGAAGAACAAAACTAAAGATGCCGTTTGTTGGCAAAGACATGACAGTCTTTCTTTTATCGACTTAGTTTGTTTCTTCGCAAGTGGTGGGTTGCTCACGGTTCCTAAAACCTCAATAAAGCTGCTCAAATTTGCTGACAATACAACAGAAGAAAAGCCAATACTCATGAGATACGGTGAAGAGGCTTTCTGTTAGGAAAATATTCAGTGAATGCTAACTGGCTTCATTTAAACTGGTTGTCACATTTTATGGCAGGCCGCCCTTCCATACATCCATTTTCTATACTACTTTTCTTCATTCGGTTTGGAATTTGTGTTGGAGCCTATCCTAGCTGCATTTAGCAAAGACGAATGGCACACCCTGAATTGGGCCCATTATAGTCCCGCCCATCCAAATGACAATATTAATACATTTTGTCAGAGTTTTTCCTTGCCTGGATGGGGGTCTAGACCAGGGGATGTCATTTATTTTTGTGGACTGTGGGCCTGTGGATAGCTTTGAGACACTTTTGTGATCATCATCATGTCTCGTCGCACCAAAACCTCACCCGTTGTAAAACTATATTATTTGCGTCCTTAACAGGGAAGTCAACCCAAAAATATTCCTTAGAAAAACAGTTTGTATGCGCCCCCACAAGTCTAAACACAGCATTCTGATTAATATGACATTTGTGGAATATGAACTAAGCATATAAATCCACCTGCTTTGATCAGAGGTAGGAACGTCAGTCATCCTTCGGTCAATATTTCAAGCCTGTAAATATTGGCTCCCAAAATGAAACTAACTTGACTGAAAAATCTAGAACTATAATAAACTTGGTGGCATTCGAGCACCGAACCTCGGATGTGAACCAGATATGCTAAGTACTGTCCATCGTGCTGTCCTTGAACCATTTTTTTTTCTCTCAAATGAGTCCACGTTCACAAAATACCGAACAACGTATAAGATGTAAGTCCACCAAGTCAGGAGGTGTGAAACGGCACAATTTGGGACAGTTTGATTGAAATGTATTTGTTTTTGCTCTTATAAATAATGCCTTCAGCTCATTTCCCTTTTCTAAATATGTTTGCAGTGATTTGATTGCAGCTTTCTTAAATACCTCGCCATGCTGCTCAGTGCTCCTCAAAAAGTTACGTCTAAGGTTGCAAATACAAAAAAAAAGAATAATTACCACATTGTGCATAACCCGTCTATTCTACGTTGGTGTACTGTGCAGTACTCAATTCTAAAATGTCTCTGTATGAGGACGTTTGAAATTCAGTTGTTGCGGATTGTTTTGGGTTCCTCTTTGAAATAATGACTCAGATCTTACTCCATGATATATTTAACAGAAGCGTGTCCATTGATCTTACACTTTTGACATTTAGCTTGTTCTGCCTGGACAATGAGAAAAATCAAACCTTCCCCAGTAAATCCTTACCTTATTCTCAGGCTCTTTCAGAGGAGAACAGGTGCTCGAGCAACAATTATCTGCACTGAGTGATCAGCCCAAATGATTCAGCAGTCACCCTGCGAGAGGAGGGAGCACTCACGCAGGGAACAACCTGCTGAACCTGCTTCCGCACCTCTCAACGAGAGTGACACACCCGCACCTGAATCCAGTCCTAAGCACCAATAGCATCGGCATACATACATAAGTGGACACAGACAGCTTCATAGGTGTGACAGAAGTGTTAAATGTCAAGTTTGTATTTACATTACTTGGTTGGATCCATTTCCCGGTTTCCAAGCCATAACTCTGTAAATTCCCCCAAGTGGGTGGAGCTTCTGGCTACAGGTCCCCCCCCCCTCCCTGCCCCCGAGTCTTTTCTTCCCCAATCGAGGCAGTGGAAGCAGCTACTGTCGTCATAGCAACACAAAGGTGCCGGACAGGCTCAGGTTTCATCCTTACACCTTTGTGCCTGGTGTGTATCGGTCTACTCAGTGACGCGTCACTTTGTGAACTATGAGTGTCAAATGAACCGTGATTGTTGTTGTTTCAGTTGCGATATCTGCGTCATGATGTGCTTGAAATGAGATTCCAGTGCTTGAGACAAGCGCATGAATTGGCACTCAAGGATGCTGTTCTTTTGTGAAAAAGAAGGCAGTTGGATACCTTGTATTTTTTAGAAATGAACGGCTCAAAAAGCAGAGCAGAGCAGTGGATATATCAAAGATGTATATCATTGCTGTTTTCCTTGCTGCACAAATAGCCACAGTACTTTCACAAACAAAGACACCACTCCCTGGGTGGAGCCGCTTGCATGAAATGTGAAATATGATATGATGAGGTCAAGCACAATCACAACAGGACAAGCATACAACCTCTGCTACCCTGATCCGGGAATGAAAGTCACTGAGGGAGCAGACATGGTTGGAACCTTACTTAGGTCATTTACAACTTCGGGTTTTTGTGCATAGAACAAATACAGTACATCACAGGGAATGATCAGATGGAATTTACTGAGATAGTCCACAGGTCAAGCTTAAGGCCAGCCAGCCAAATCTGCCACCGAAAAATAATGAATGCTGTACCAAATGCTAAACGTAGCGTCAATTCTGTTTAATGCCGACTATAGGAGTGTACCCCAATTTTGAGCCATCAGACGTGTCACAGACAGATGTAGTGTCTCCTAGCCGAATTTGAGGTGTCTTGACACACCGTAGCCTATCTGGTGTGACATACTCAACGACAAAGTCAAGCATGTCCAAACCGCCCTCTCCCCACAACCCAGGAACAGGTCTGTCCTCTGTTTTTCACTTTTTTTTTTGCCTTTTCTGAACAAAAAACAAACACACAAGCACATCATGCCACCTGCTCTTTCCGCCTCCCCAACAGACCTGCACTAATGGGCTGAATCTTGACGGAGGCATGCAATGAGTGGATAGGGTCTGGTTGGTGATGGATTTGGAGTGTGATATCTCGCCCGAATCTGGACACAGAATGTTATTTATCTGGTAGCCTGACAAAAAAGTAGTAAGGTTTGAAAAGCCCTTCAATCAAACATGTTAAAGCACACTAGTTGTCATGATTCTGTTTGTGACCAACAGGTGGCACTGGAGGGCTCCCCCTGCAGCTGCACACCTGTTGGTCGTTATGTAATCAGTAGTAGAAAAGGACTCCCGTCCGACCACTCGTGGTCGGGTCGTTGGTTGTTTGTTTGTATCTGTCATGTTTGTTTGTCTGTCAAGTCTCAGTCATGTTCCGATCATGGTTAGTTTTTGCTTCAGTGATGATTTTGTTTGCTACTTTGGATTCTTTTTGTTTTCAGGACTTTGTTGAGAATTTAGTTTTCTCTGTGTTTTAATACAATCTGTCAAGTACACCCTGCTCCTCCTTCTTGCCTGCTTTTTGGGGTCCACCACCACCTCGCAACGTGACACTAGTGGTGGTTTTAGATTGGAATTTTACTTTGATTTGCGATTGGTTAGCACGCCGACCTCACAGTGCAGAGCTGCAGGCTTCACTTCCGGCTCCAGCCTTCCTGTGTGTAGTTTGCATGTTCCCCCCATGCCTGTGTGGGTTTTCTCCGGATACTCCAGTTTCCTCCCACATTCCCCAAACATGCATGGCAAGTTAATGGAACACTCCAAATTGTCCCTAGGTCTGATTCTGAGCGTGAATGGTTGTTTTTCCATTTGTGCCCTGCGACTGGGTGGCAACCAGTTCAGAGTGAACCCCGTCTGCTGCCCGAAGACAGCTGGGATAGGCTCCAGCACGCCCCTCGGCCCTTGGGAGGATAAAGCGGATTGGAAAATGGATGGAAGGATGAATATAAGTACAAAGAGGCAAATCAAATTGTTTTGCAGACAAAATAAATTGCAACGTGTTGCTGGAAAGCTGTTCGTCTCCACATTGACTACCAGTACAGTGCCTTGGGGCAACGTACCCCCACACGCTGTCCAGGGGCACTATCACATTTCACCTTTTGCCCACCCAACCACTCATTTCTGCTTGAGTGTGTGTGTGGTCTTGTTCTTTGAGCGGTGTGAAACAAACAATGTAGGATTAAAATTTGTATCATGACTAAAAATTCAAAGCAAACCAACCACCCATGATGTCAATGAAGAAATATCACTATTTTTTTAGCATTTCAAAATTCAAGCCCTCAAATATGTCATTTCTGTTTTTCCAGATTGCTTGTGAAAACATTGCCTTGGTTACTATTGACACGGTCAATACTTTGCCACACCTTTTCAATCTCAGCTCAATATTGGGCTTGACTTGAGGTTGGCAGTAACCACTGGTTTTCAACCTTTTTTTTTTTTTTTTTTTTCCGAAGATGTGCAGAGGAGGCTCATTCAAGCCATTCAGGAACTAATAACAGATACAGCATTTCTTTTTATAAATGCATTTGTTCCTTTAGGTTTGGCCGCAAATGTGAACTCAATGCAATTTAATGCAATAAACCAGTAAGAGATTTATCTGTTTTGTTTTGTTTTTTTCACGATCACTGTTCAACATGTTTACAATCAGAGTATATTTTTTTCTGACCATTACTTGGTGTCTTGTTTTTTTTTTTTTTTTTGATAACTAAATTGATTGAAATTGATAATAATTAAGTGCATGGAGCAATTTTATAAGAATTTCATGAGATTATACTACATGAAGATTTACTGTCACAACCGGCCTTACAAGGACAACTACAAATCGTTTGCAATGAACCCAACTTTTAACCACTGCTGCTTAAGGTTAATTTACTGAATATTAGCTAATATAGTAACTACTGTACTTCAATACAGTCTTTGTATTTGTATTGACCTATATTTTCGTTTCAAAGTCACCTCAAGATCATATTGGTCCCATTCGGAGGCAAACATTGCCGTAACTGACTCTTGTAAAAAGAAAAAAAAAAACGTGTGCTTCACACTCAACATGTTCTCAAAGTATTTCTGTCCTCGTATGAAAAAAAAAAAACTTTTACCTGCAGCAACTGAGCTTTAGTGTTAAAAGAAGCTGCTGTGATGACTTGACAGTTTAGTGAAAGCACCATCTCTCGCTGATTCTCATTTTGCTGCTTCCCATTAAAATCTTTCCCCCGATGCACCAGCAGAAGTCTATTGCCTTCATGCTTTCACAGCATCGTGCACAAACAGCACATCTCGAACACAACATCACTGTCAATAACTCCAGCTGGTGGCTGCAGCCATTCCACATGGGCTCAGTAGCTGCTTGGCATTGTTTGGATGTTGCCTCAACCCATGTGTGAAGTTCTACAGTACCTCCCAGCGGTCTAAAACCCAACAGGGGTTAGGGAGTTTTGTGACTCAAATTATTTACTCGTAAACAAGCACAAAAATATCGCAAGATAGATTTATTCACCTAATTAAAAAAAAAAAGTTGAACAGTGTAAATTGTACAAATGAGGATTGTTTGCTCGACTTTATCAACTTCAACTTAGGAAACATACCGTACACACATAACATCCGCATCTCAGTTTTATCCACATCCTCGGATTTTTCTGTACGCATCCCTCGATGAAAAAGTATGGATACCCGTGCTTTTGACCATGTTTGTTCAGTTGAGTGTTTGAGCCTGATTTCTCGCAGGGACTTAAGGTGCATCTTCTGTTGACAACACAAAGCAAATTTGTACTTTGACTGATCATCAGCCACCGTTTGCAAATAATCATGGCAAATATTCCATAAATACTATGATGTCTCAATGGATTTTTCAAAAGATGAAAAGACGCTTTGCATTGTGCCTGTTTGTTGTATTTTTCAGGTTTTCAATTTGCGAAATTGTCTATGTCCCTCAGAGACGCCCTTGAATCTATTATAAGGCCTGTTTTCGGCAACATTTTAGTTGATGCAATTCATTAGTTTGCAGCAGGAGTTTACTGTAGCCAGATTATTCATCATAAACACTGGCAGTGAAGGAAATGGTGAAAAATTCTAAATTGCTTTATTTTACATATTAATTCATCATATTTAATGTTTTGTAGTTTATTTTTTGCTGTGACTTGGTATCTATTGCACTGGCATACTTTTTTCCTCCAAACCCATCATCCCTTGAAACTGAATTTTCTTCTGCCTGCTATTCTCTTGTTAAGGCATCGACAATAATAAAGTGACTGGATTTGTGTGACAGTTCTGAACAGTCTGTGGGCTCTTTGTTCCATACGGCATATAATAAATGGAAATTGGTGTTTGCACCATGTAATGACATTAAGGCTGCAACAAATGAAATTAATCATCGATTAATGTGTCATGGGCGCACCGCCCGTGGGTTAGGCCGTAGGGATCAGGTGCAATGTGAGCGGTGTGATCTTCAGCTACAGAATCTGGCTCTCGGTGGGTGGAATGTCACCTCTCTCGCAGTCCAGCTCAGTTGGTGTCGATCTTGTCTAGATCGGTCGGAGTAGAATCCGTACAGCGACATCTAGTCGGGTCAACATCACTGAGCCCCCTCTCCAGACCAGGAACGAGGGTTTAGAACAAACAGGACTTCAATTCTACCAACGCAAAGTCTAGAAAAATACCAAGAAAAAAGATTGCGCTTTGCGTTTGACTTGTGCCTGGAGTGAAAATCCCTATGTCTCCGGCTAGCCTGAGAACGACTCCGGATCCCCTTGGGAAAGCTGGATGAAGTGGCTG